CAACCCCTCCGCGGCCTCAGGCTTTTGGGGTGGAAAATCATCCTCCAGATCTATCACTGGAGGGGCATTGTTGAGCTTGGGCTCAAGGATGGGAGCCCGGGGATGATCGGGCTCGGAAGAGGGAGCCCTCGACGGCTCCACACGAGCCTTCTTGGCAGCCCGCTTCTTCCTCTTTTTCATTTTGTTGAGGAGCCTAGGAGCCGTAATCCTCTCTTCTTCGTCCATGGGACCTGCAACAAAGTTGGCGTTAGTAAACCCGAAGACACCAAGCAGATAAAAGCAAAGCACCAAAAGGTAGAAATAGACCTACCTGGGCTCAAACCGGCCTAAACGAGCTTCTCTTCGGTGATGTATTCCCGATGATCAAGCTCAGCCTGAGCCCACGAATGGAAGGTCTCCCACGTCTGTTGGTAGCCTGGGTAGCCACCCTCCAGCTAGTAAGGAAGGGCCACCCCGTGCTAGCCCGGACCACAAAATAGTCCCCCTTCTAGGGTGGGACCTTGCTCTGGAACTTGTGCAGTAGCTTGAAGCCTGGGCGAGGAGACAAGTAGTAGACCTGCCCATGCTCGGGGGGAGCGCTAGATGCGCTCTTTTTTATTAGCAGTATGGAGCAGAGTATGTCCGCGTCCAAAGAGAATTGCCGTTCACGACAGAGGGAAATGGTTCTCACCAAATTTCGAATGGAATTGGGGTGAAGCTGATCCAGCGTGATGCTGAAACGCCCCAACACCCCAGCGATAAGGGGTGAAGAGGGAGACGAAGCCCACCGACGAGTTGTTCCCTGAAGATCACGACCGTGCTCCTAGGGGAAATTGCCGGTGGGAAGGCTGTAGGAGTACTCTGAAGGAAGGTTAAACTACTGAATGAGGTATTGGAGCCTCTCCAGCGTCATAGTAGAAGGACCGAACTGGTCCGGCATCCGACCTCGATGAGAGGTGGACGCCAGTTTACCCGAAGTTGCCTGTGCTTCGTGGGAAGGCCGGGCAACAGCAGGGTCACCATGACCCAAGGTGCCTGCCTCGGGTTTGTCCGAGAAACTGCCCCCACTAGACATAAGGAAGAACGAACTGAGAAAAAAGAAAAAGGGGAAGACTCGGGGACTCACCAGAAAGAGACGAAACCGAGCTAGAAGACCCGAGCTGGATACCTCAGACGCGAGCTCAAAATGAGAAACACTTAGCAACGAAGGAAAATGGCCAAAATCCCGCTATTTATAGCCGTAGGGCCTGGTAGCCAACGGTCAAGATTGGATCAATCCAACAGACCTCAAAGAAACCGGCTGCGGGACTCTCAAGGTGAATATGATTTTGCGCGTTTTTTGGCGTCCGCGCAGCATAAAGCGCGTGAATCGCACGAGACGCGGGTTTTTTCCTCCGCGCAAACTGAATGCCCAACCGGTCCGGCCACTAATCCGCCCAACATTGCGGCGTGAGAACCGAACCAAATCCACCCGACAAACCATGAACTCCTCGCACTAGGGCCCCGTCCCCCGCACGGGGAGTGGGGGGCAATTGACGGAGGACGATTTGGCCCGACCTCGTAGCATGGGAACACGTGGGCGTGACCTTGCTCAAACGATAACTCAGCGCGACAAGCACAATAGGCGCAACCGCAACTTGGAGGGAAGATCCCACTGAGCTCATCTCGGCAACTTGACAGAATAGACTACTCGCCGGGAGCCACCCGGTCTGCACCGCCACCCTGGGGGCTAAGGCACCCTGAGCTACCTCCGAGCTCGGGACCCCCTGACTTTTCCTAATACTCAAGCTCCTCCCAGTGGATCTCGGACCACTCCCAGACAGGAACACACCAATCTGCCTATAGATACCCCGAGGTAAAGACACCTTGGGCCAGACAGCTCGACTTAGCTTGCCACAGGCAGCTCACCGCCTACGTGATAGCCCGGTACAGGGAAGCTCGCGAAAGGGTAGTCCAGCATCATATCGTAGGAGGATCTCCTACTCGACCACCGTACCCGACAAATCTGGGAACAACAACCATATCCCTCGTCAGACAGCGTCGTGTCTGCCACCTTCAAAGGGTGCCTTACACCTGACAGGCACGTGCACTGCGGTGACGGCCCCGCGCGTGCCACCTCAGCCCCACCAGTAATGGGTGTGGTAGGCTGACAATGGCGGTTATACCCGCCCTGTCAGAGGCCAGTGGGCCTGAGGCAACGGATTTCTGTTATAAGGAGCTAGCATCAAGGAACAGAGGGATCATCATCATCATCATCTTCTCTCGCGCTATCTGCACTCTTAGCCTTCATCTTTTCCTTGCTTCTCTTACAKAATTGCGCCAGGAGCCACGTAAGTGCCAGTTAGGAGTGACCGGATTGCGCTCCATCAATAATAATTTTCAAATAAAATAGGTCAGAATAGATTATTAATTACAAAGATGCAATACCCATATTATTTTTTTTTAATTTAATTTTTGATAACTAAATAGTAAGCTTCAAGGTAAAGTATACACACATTTAGTTACCCTGTACTTAGTATGGGGGTCATTCTCTAGTATAAGGTAAAAAAATAATATATTTAAGGCTTTGTTGCATTTCCACTATCTTCCATATGAACCAATTAGCATGTTTTTTGGGAAAATTTCCTATTAGTACTCTATACTTTGGGCCTTGTGCTACTTTCGTCCCCAAATTTTAAAATGCGATAATTTAGTACTCGAACTTTTAAAACATGTCGATTTAGTATCTACTGTTAATCATGCATTAACTAGCCATTAAGTGGCATTTAAAAAATACATAAATGCCCTTTGGGTGTCATCTAATTTTCTTTATCAACCATCCAAATATTGACAAAGAATGAACAATCCTAAATCATTGTCTCTAGTGACTCAAACTTTCTTTAATAGAAGAAAAAATGATTTGAGACTCTTCATTTTTTATCAACATTTGGATGATTAATAAAAAAAATTAGATGACAATCAAAGGATATTTGTGTGTTTTCAATTTCCACTTAATAGGTGGTTATTGACAGTGTATTGACACGTTTTTAAAAATTGGGGACCAAACTAGCAATACATACAAATTATAGGGTACTAATAAAATTTTTTTATTTTATTTTTTAATATGAGACTATAAGGGATTGCCAAGTCTGGATCTGCTCCCTACAGAGCGCTCCCAACTGCACATCGGGGAGATGTTCGCAATAAACCGTGGGATAGGGGTCGATGTGAGGTGCGCCACTGTCGTGTTCCCCTTTGATTGGATTACGTAGCCTGTTGTACAAAAATTGTTTGGGTTCGCATCCGCCCCCCAAAAACGTCCCACGGCCTGTGAGTGCGCCGCGTGTCCCTCCCACACGCGGGTTAGAGGACTCGTGCGGAGCTAACCGCGTGTCCTCCCAGGCTCTCACCCCAAAAGTCATCATTCTCACTCCTCCTCTCTCTCGAATTTCAGCTCACTTCAATCCTCGACCTTCTGCTCACAGAATTGAAACCCGTCGGAGATTGCCCAGTTTCACCGGTCGACGCCGACGATCACTCCGACAGATTTATTTACTAGAGGTAAGTATCCCTCAGTTCTCAAATAAGTTTTCTCATTTTCTATGTTTTTTGTTTTTTTTTTCTCGTTTTCGCCGGAGTGAGACGCCAACAAGTCACCGCTGCAACATCTGCAACTCTATTTCTCTTCCATTGACCAAGAAGTCACTTCACAAGAGAAAAATGATTATGCTTTTAATGACAATTTAAGATTTTGATGGAATCACCCAATTTCATTTAATAAAAAAAATTGCGTCGAATTGTACAATTTTATGTTTTCTTTTCACGAGTAATCTTCGTGGGTTTTTCCAAATCACTCAAAATGTACAATTTTGCTTCTCTTGTTCTCAGGTTGTCATCAAGGATTCTTGTTTCCTCTGCCTCTATGCTCAGTGCTCTCTCCCTTTGTCACCGGTCTAAATATCTGCCATCTCCTAGATTAGAGAACAAGCAAGAACTTAATTCCTTTCCTCTTGCAGACGAAGCACCAATTCCTCCAGAGCTTGAATCATCCAGACATGTGGAAGGGGGCCAAATCAGTTCAAGAAAAACCTCGCAACGGAGCACGAGATTCGTCCCTTGCTGCAGAGTAAGACCCATCAAGAAAACCTCGCAACAGAGACTCACCAAACGACTTGGCGACAGCCGACTTCATCATAACGCTGCAGTTCTCTTCCAGTACGAGAAAACAAAACGTAACCCTCTGTCTCTCGCTTATCTGATCCGGGTTATGTCTCGTTCTTTCTACTCTTGAAGAAAGACACCTCCAGATATCGGAGCTAAAGTGCGAAACCAGGGAGCTGAACCGTAATCAACTGCCGAGGATAAGATGCAAAGAACCCACCCTATAAATAGGCATGATTGAAAGGAAAAAAATATATAAAAAAGAGAAGAAAGGAAAAGCCGTGTAGGCTCACAAACCACTTGGTTCGTGTTATTGGCGCGTCAGCGTCGCCTTCGGGAGGAGGCGTTTTAGAGGACATTTTCTTCGTCGTTTCCTGCACCTTCGGAACGGTCGTCGGCATCCACCGGCGAAACTCAAAGGGGGGCAATCTTCGGCGTATTTCAGTTCTAAGAGCAGAAGGTCGAACGTTGAAGTGAGCTGAAAATCGAGAGAGAAGATTAGGATGACCTTTTGGGCGAGAAGGCGCACGACTCCCTCTAATCCGCGTGTGGGAGGACACGCGGCGCGCTCACAGCCCGTGGGACGTTTTTAGGGGGCAAAGTTGTGGGGGGCGGATCGATTCGGAGTCAGGGCATGGATTTGCCCCGACTGAAGCCGATCTCACGTCGTAACTCGTAAGGCCCAGACAGTTAGAAGGCAATTAACCGAAACCAAAAAGTTAAAACGGAGGACCTTCTGTCCTTTGCTCACCACACACTTATCCACTGGTTTCTGAACTTCCTTGCTCCCGACTAATCGAGCAGCTCTTTACCATTACGCTTATGGTTTTGTGTTATACACCTTTGGTTCGATCCCTTTAACTTGCTTCTGTTTTATTTTCGGCTTTTCGTCTATGGCTTCTCTGAAAATGTTCTCGACTCATTCATCTCTTCGACTTTTGGTTCCTCAATGGAAGCGGAGAAACGGAAATTTATGGACTTTAATTCATTCTAATCCAAAGTTTGGATTCTTCATATATTGTTCAACTTCTTCTTCTTCGACGAATGATGAGTCAGCATCACTGCCGAAGCAAACCCAGGCTAGCTCTTTCATATATTTCGTTCCTTTCATTAATCAATACGATTTTGTGTTGGTTTGTCTGTTTTGAAGTATGGATTGCATTTTGTTTTTTTTTTTGGGAAAATTTCCTCTTATTTTACTTATTTTCTGCTGCTACTGCTTCTCCCCCCACCCCTCAAATTGTTCCAACGGGGATTTTTATCCATATAAACTACGATGTATGCTTTCTAAATGCAAATCTTTGGATTAACATTCTCTAATTTTGTTTTGCATGGGCAGATACAGTTCGATCATTCAGAAGAGATTTTCGGACTCGAAGTCGACCTACAACCAAGGTCTTGCCTTTCCTATTTAACATGCTTTTTAAACACAGAATACTGTTAATTGCAATGTTATAGAGGACATAGATTTATCCATGATGAGAACATGCAGTAAGTTCATACTGTCCTACGCGTAGTAGGCTTGCATCAGAGGCAATGTCACAATCCGGAAGCATGGTGTTTCCCTCCCTGCTTAACCTGTACTGGTAATGTGATCATAACTGACCACTCACCGAGTTAAGGGATGTTCTATAAAAAGAAAAAGGGATGTTCCACACAACATTTTTATTACTAGTCAGGTGGTGGTGCTATTTCAAATTTCTATGTTTCAAATATGGGAAGCACACTGTCTATTCATTAGCTATTTTAACGATTCAAAATCTATGAACGAGGTTTTTGTTACTGATATGCTAGTAAATCATGATTGCTAAATTATCTACTGGTTGTTCCCTTTTGCTCATGGAAATGACTCTAGAAAGGCAATTCTATGCCATCTTAAGAATGAGACATGACAATTGATTTAAGGTTCTTCTTTTCCTAATGGTATATGTCAGATTCTGGTTTCTCTTTTCTTCTTTCTTTTCTTCCCTTCTTCAGTGGGTGACCTCTAATTTGTTGTGGCAGGAATTTAATATCTGGTGCAACCAAACCAAGATCCTGGTTTGGTCCAAATGGCCAGTATATCAGAGAGTTACCTTGCCCAAGTTGTAGGGGCAGGGGTTATACACCATGTACGGAGTGTGGAATAGAAAGATCTAGATTAGATTGTCCACAGTGTAATGGAAAGGTACTTGCTGCTCAATAGTAAGATCAATGTTTCCATTTATGGTAGAAATGAGGGATTCACTTGTTTAGTCATGTTGGGTTCATTCTTTTGAGTTAGTTTGATGATACCATTATTCACTATCTTTTGTCCACACATAGACTACCCACTGCAGAGTACATACAAACTGACATATTAGTATTTAAATTTTGTGCTATATAGACCAAATTGTAGCGGTAGGGGTTATACACCATCTACAGAGTGTGGAATGGAAAATTCAAATTAGATTGTTCAATGTAATGGAAAGGTATGCCCTGCCTATTTACATAATAAGTTCCCTTTGGCCATTTATGGTAGAAATTAAGGATTGACACTTCTGTAGTCATGTTTGGTTCATGATTGTTTACATAATATGATAATATTTTTATATCCTCAATCTTATTCAATTCACCAAACATAGACCAAGTACTGCAGAGAATGTGCAAATTGACATGCTAGTATGCAAAATTTGATTCTCTTCCTTATGAGAATAGTTGAAGTGGTTATTTGGTTTTCTTCATCACATCTGTCAACCTGCCAAGCTGCCATGTATTTTGAATATTTGCTTGATTTATTGATTAATCCGGTTACTTCACTGTAATCTATAACTTCTCTTTAGGAATCTTTTTCATTTTTTAACATATGAAGTTATTTGCATTTGAACATGGAACAAATTTCACTTCTAGATGTCTCTAATGTTTTATTTAAGCATTGGATTACTTCTCCCTCATGACAACAGGGAATAAAGACTTGTGGGCAGTGTCTGGGAGATTGTGTGATATGGGAGGAGTCAATAGATGAGCAGCCATGGGAAAAAGCTCGCTCCATGTAAATCTTTAATACCCTTCCTTTTTGGAATTTCTGTATATACATCAATTTGCAAAATTCAGGTTTATCATTTTCACTTGTGTTCCTCCAAGGCAACCTATATTTATGTGGTCCAGCCTAGCAGAAAAGAAAAGAAGATATGAATTTGAACCGTATAGTTTCAAAAAACTGGTATCATTGACCTTTTCTGTACGAGAGAAATTTTATGAGAAATAAAATCAATATGATGATTAAAACTCATGGAATAATCATTGTCTTTTTCTTCATATGACTTTATCAGCTACACACCTACTCTATACCTACCAGATAACTTCTTCAAGTCTCAGACACAAGTATTTTCCATGATGTTGCTTGACTGAAGAAACCTTATTACTAAAGTTTATCAGTAGATCTCTAGCAACTCCAAGTCAAAGCACAAAATAATTAATAGAGTAGATTCAGCACTTAGGTATATCTAGGATTAAAGTTCTATAAAAACATTAAAAATTAAGAGATGGTGATATTTCTGAAACTGGAATTTGTTTGAATTATTTCAGGCTTAAAAAAAGGGAATTATGCAAAACTTAGATTAAGGGTTATTAGTTATGAAAGAAAGTGGGTAGGCAGATTTTGGAGTTGAATTTATGTTAGAGGATTTGGATTTCATTATAGATATTAGCATTATAGGGGTTGAGCATCACCTGTTAGTAAGATGGAGAAACTAGGGTCATATGTTTTAGGGTATTTTGGGGGTGTGGATGTGATCAAGGTAAGGCATAAGCCTTATAAGGGGATGAAATCCACGGCTTAGGTAAACTGAATTTGATATGTGATTGCAATTAGCGGCTTGTTTGGTTCAAGAAAATGTTTGGGAGAAGCTGAGACTGTGTTGAATCTAGGCTGTTCATAGCTTTCTATAGACTAGAAATAAAGAAATTTTTAGGAAGGAAAACGACAGAGAAGCAAGGACCCAGAAGTGTAGATTAAAATGTTCTAATTGAGGAAGAAAATTCATTTAGTCAACCCACCAATCTTTCTTTCATCAATCATCATGTAAATGTCTGTCACATAATCTGGGTGTATATGCATGAAGCACCTTTTTGGGATTTTCTTGATTACTATTAGGGAAACAGTTTTCTAATCAATAACTAATCAAGAAACTTTATTAATAAGAGGAGAACAGTAGACAATAGAGAACAAAAGAAGAAAGTGGTGCACATGCACTTCCAAGAAACTTAAGGTTAACCATACTGCTACCTTTCTCCACAAGTAAAACCCAACAGGACAATTATGGACTTTTACCTGGGTCCCCTATTATTATGAAACCCTTGAAATGGCCATACACTAAGAATTTCATTTGTGGTTCTTAAACATTTAATATGATAACAAGTTATGTATGTGAATTTCAGTTGGCATTCAATATTGAGATTTAAAACTGTACACTTCATAGGCTACTTTTCCCTCATTTATTGTGCATAAAATGAAACTAATTGCATATCCTTCTAGGGCATACTAACTAGCAATTCTTGTTTTTTTCCTTTGCAGATCTCCATTCAAAGTCAAAGAAGACGATGAAGTAGACAATCTAGACATAAAGTTGGATGTGAGAAGAAAATCAAAGCGAGTATATCAATCAYCACCTCCTGAAGTTGGCTTAAAGATCAGCAGATCACTACGAGTTAGTTCCCTACTGGGCCCATCTAACATCTGAACATGGAACCAATCCGTTATAATATCTTTTTTTTTTTTTTTTATTGAAAACTCCCTTATAATATCTTGTTCTTTCTTATTTCTGTGCTTTGTTTTTCTGTAGACTGCTCATTTTTCATTCAAACATGATCTTTGTTATCGATAAGGAATTATTTGTGTCTCTCTCTGTGTTTTGTATCTCCACAAATGCAGTAATTTTGGTCTGGTTACTCAATTACAATTTCTTATTCTTGCTGCCAATAGTTTTTTTTTTCCCTTTTTTTTTCTGGATTTCTCTTAACAAAAAGAAAATTCTTGTAGAGTTTTGGAATGTTTTTGATATTCCATTGGTTTTACAAATATTTTTAACATGCTTAACATGGGAAGACATTCTTCATATACTGGCATAGGTTAGTTAGTTAAATTAATTACATTGAAAACTATCATATTTACTGTATCATCAATTTAACCTTCTTTTTTTAGTTGGATGCTTGCAGAGTCTCAATGCCAAAACAGGATTATTTAGTAAAAGAATGAAGATTCTCCATCGTGATCCAAAGCTTCATGCACAAAGAGTGGCTGCTATTAAGGTATGTGGTATTTGAATAATTAGTAATTTCCAAAATTTTGATATTTGATCTTCATTTTTGTAATTCTTTCTTCTGTGGTCAATACCAAACACATGTTCCACAAAATTGAGGTTGACATGCATACTTTTCATTGACTAGTTTTATCATATTGTCAATGTTTATTTTGTCAATATTCGAACACAATAATAGTTTATCTAGTTAAAGCATTCCAAAAGTTGTAACTTGTAAGGGGAAGAATATCTTGTAGCTCAAGTCTTTATTTCTGCTTATACTTATATATGTATATACTTTTCATTGGTTCATGTTTTTGCTTCGCGATGCATTTTCTGCACTGTAGCATTTGCCATATCTATAGATATATATCCACCTTTGGTGTAATATATGAAATACACAAAAATTAAGATTTCAAATATGAATTTTATTCTGGATGTCATCATTGATATATTTTTTTGCTGGCAGTAGACACACCTCTAGTGATTCTTTCTTTCTTTCTTTTTTTTGATAATTCCTCTAGTGATTCTTTCTACTCAGATCCAAAGTCTGGATGGACTGTCATGACAGCTTTACTTCTAGCAGAGTCCCACAACTCCCACCAACATAATGGTTGGGGTACAGGGGTAGGATTGATACAATAATGATGGTCTAGCATGTAAACCGAATATAATGAAGAACAAATGTAACTGTCAGTATGTCACAACCTCAAAAAGTAAGCATGAGAGTTCAAGTGAATTGATGCTAAATTGGTCAATCTATCTGGTCCCAACCCCACAATGGTAAATCTTTGAACTTCAATATCAATCCTGAGGAGCAAGTCAAATAGAGGTCTGAGGGTCTTCTGAATAGTTKKCTGACAGGTAGACACAATGCCTTGGATATGGGAAGAAAGAAATGTAACATGCTGATTATAGATTTCATGGTTAGCATGCTCAGTATTGCCTATAGGTGTATGTAGCAATAACATGAAGCAAATATGTGATCTCAACCCAGAATGTACATATTTATTTCACTTGCAGAGAGCAAAAGGGACTGCAGCAGCAAGGAAGCGGGCCTCTGAATCTCTCAAGGCTTTTTTCCGCGATCCAGAGAACCGTCGCAAGAGAAGCATTGCCATGAAAGGTCAATAAAAATATTATTTTAAAATTTCTTGGTGAAATGAAGAAATAAAATTTTAACCACTGTCAAACTACTGTCTAGTTTTTAGTTAACTTCTTGTTGTGAACTTGTGGTATACTTTCTGTTGGTAATTAGTTGTTTCCTTTATGAAGCAAACACTAGTCAATTCATCTCCTCAGATCTCAGTGTATTTGCTGTTTACATCTTGTACGGATTCTATGTAGATCCCAAGACACCTCTTTGTATTTTACATTTTTGTAGGTTAATAAAATAAGGCATCTTTGGCTTAACATTTATACTTTCTGTGTTAGGGACACGGATATGGATATTAAATGTTAAACTAAGGAACCCTTAAATTTTAATATTTTATGAACATGTGCATGCACTTTGAATATAAATATCTTTAAGTTCTGAAATTCTGAGTATTCTAACTCATATGTGATAGCAGAGTTAGTATTGGATTATTTCCATGTAATTCCTCATTCCACTAACTTTGAATTCTCATGCTTGGAATTGCACTTTATTAGAAATCGTGATTTCTTTTATAAGAATGATATATAAGACTTCTTCTCTCACATAAGATTGATTCATCAAGAGGAAAAAAAAGGCATGTACATAAAGCTCCGGTCATATAGTTTAATAATTTAAAATATTTCCATTTGTTATTTTGATGCCTGAAGACGTGCTACCCCCGTGCTGTGTAGCCCCTTTCGTTTTATCAAAAAAACAAAAAAAATCAAAGCAGCTATTAATTGGTGCAGCAAGCAATAGTCATTCACTACAATGTAAGTGCTATTTTGGATGGTTAGGCATCTAAAAATATCCACATATACCTGATTTCACCTGAAATTATGTGCTTTCCTTTCTCTGCCCACCTGGAAATATGCTATTGAAATGCAACATCCATTTAAAATGTTGTTCTTTATGTATTCTCTTCAGGTAGGGCTGTCAATGGACCGAATATTGGTCCAACCCGATCTGGTCCATTATGAATCCATTACAGATGGACCAGGTCTAATCCAATCTGATTAATACCTTGGATCATTTTGGACCGGTCCAATTCAATGTCTGGACTGTCTAATCTGTTCAAATTGGTTTTAATTTAGGTTGGGTCCAACCCAAACCTGGTCCATTGACACCCATACTCTTATCTTCTGTCAATGGACCAGATGTTGGGTCAATCCAACCCAATTCAATATAAATCCATTAAGGACGTACCAGGTCCAACCCAGTCCAATAAATACTTTGGACCATTAAGCCTGGACTGGTCCAATTCAATGCCTTAATGGCCCTTCAAACCTGTCTAATTTGATTTTGATTTGGATGGGTCCAATCTAAACCGCTCCATTGACACCCCTATCTTCAGGAATGTAAGATTTTTAAATGTTTAATGGTGTCAGTGCAACATGAAACCGGGGGGGGGGGTATTTCTCATGTCACAGTGGGATTGGTAATTATTGGTAATTTTAATTATTATTGCTGCTCCTGTTGTCGTTTTTTATCCAATTGGCTTCAGCCGACTTCCTTGTACTTTTTGCAGGAGTAAAATTCTACTGCAGTAACTGTGGACAGGAAGGCCATCGGAGACACTACTGTCCTGGACTTGAGGATATCTTGGCAGGTAGGAAGTTCAGATGCCGGTTATGTGGGGAAAGAGGCCACAACCGAAGAACCTGTCAGAAGTCAAGGTCAGATGAATCCAAGAGAAGGGACCAAAGGCGTCACTGTTGTAAGATTTGTAGTCAAAGCGGCCACAACCGTAGGACATGTCCTCAAAAGACTGGAGTAAAACCAGATGGTGATTCAAAAAAAGTTCTTTTGCCTTCTGCAAGGACTTATACCTGTCGCTTTTGCCTAGGAAAAGGGCATAATATTAGGACATGCCCCAGTAGGAAGAGAAACTGACATTGGAAATAAACCCCAAGTTGATATCTAGAAGGAGATCATTGTATGTTCTAGTGCACCAATAAATCAAGCTGCATATTCAAGTGAATTAAGAAGGCCATTCCCTTGAGAGGGTGAAAGACAGACATCTAGATGGAACCCATTTACAGAATTACAGTGGTAAAATCTTGTTCAACCGCTTTAACTCACCGTTCTGTGCAGCAGGCATCGTATCAAATTCAAGTCTACATAAACCACGGCAAGATATAAGAAAGTCCGCAGCTCCCATACTCCTAGATTTTCCAACTGGACTATGTGCATAGATAAATGAAGGAAACTTTCAGAATATAAAAAACCATAGATAAATGAAAAAACAATCTAAAAGCCAAAATCAAGTGAGAAGGTGAATCAGTTCTCTTTCCATGGATTTGTGAATAAATCATACCGGAGAATGGTACTGTTCATTGGATAGAAGGAGCTGTGTTAATGTGGTTCAATTTTGAATCATTCAGATCATCCGAGCCATGGTGTGTTTGTCTTCCACTTGTAAATTTTCTATTGATGAATTAATGAAATATTGATAAAAAAATAAAAAGATCACCCGAGTCATGGTTGGATTGATGGCTAAATATGCCTGGAGCACGAAATCCTGGGATTCCTGATTGGATGGTTATTTACACTCCCAAATAAAAATCAAGTTTTTAGATATATGACTATTCATAAAAAAAGTATCCACTTTAAACAAATTTGGGACACATGGGACATGACTATCTATAGAAAAAGGTATCCTTCCTAAGGATGTGGAACCCATATTAATTTTTGTAACTTAGTTTCATATTTCAAATAGCAGAATCACTATAAAGATTTTTAATTTATAAATTGAACATGATTTAATTATTTACATTAAATGAAAAATTCAAATTATATATAATTATCAGCTAAATAGTGACTTTCAAATAAAATGATATTATTTTATCTAATCTCAAATGCTGTAGGTTATGCAAATTAAATTAAATTATATAATATTAAGTTAAATTTGGATACTTCACTTGATTTCCTGGATAAAAGTTAACCACATATTCAATAGCATTCTATATATTGTATAAAAGATTTCATTTGTTCTATTCCATCTTTAATTTCATAGTTCATGGCACTAAATTAGCTGGAATGTTAGCCGCTACGAGTGAGACCACTAATCAGCTTATAAAAACAACCTAGATTCCCAAAGGAGGAAAAAAAAACAACGTTGGGAAATCATTTCCCACCGGCCAGCTGAGATCTTATAAGCTTTGCTGCAGCCACCATGTTGGTCAATGCTGGTTTGACTTCAGTGTATTTTCTCGTCTTCAAACCACAATCTGGATTAACCCAAAGAACATTCATCTCTAGGACCGCTAACATTTTTTTGATGCGTTCAGCAATYTCTTCTTTGGTAGGGATCCGAGGGGAGTGGATGTCATACACCCCAGGACCAATCCCTGCACCATATTTCACACCCTCACGGAAGACGGAGAGGAGTTTCTCATCAGATCTCGAGTTCTCGATTGTGATCACATCAGCATCCATGTCGATTATAGAATGGATGATGTCATTGAAGTTGGAATAGCACATATGAGTGTGGATCTGCTCACCACAATGACACAACAAAAGCAATTCAGAGTTGTTAGATGACAATAAAATTAGCCTACAGTACAAAAGAGTACCTGTGTGGTGTCCTTCACACCACAATTAGTGATCCTGAACGAATGGACAGCCCAGTCTAGGTAGAAAGCCTGCTCTGATTTGCGCAAAGGCAGACCTTCTCGTAGTGCAGCTTCATCAATTTGGATCACCTGAACGCATGGAGTGTCAGAATCACCGACTTGAATAACTTTCATTCATTCTGGATATGAACAAGGATCAAAATATAGATACAAATATATGATTCACCCCTGTATTGGGCGTATTGTATATGTATTGGTGCACCTTGATATGCATGAATACATTGATACACACATGTTTTAAAACTTTAGAAACTTTGGGATGAAAGAAGGCATCCCTCTAATGCTTATAAAAAAAAAAAAAGAATATAATCAGTCATATAGATACACAACGCTGCTACAGGAATGAAATGAAGAAGTTTAAGTGGCTCATTAGAAACCTGAATCTTAGGATACATTGGGTGAGGAGATCTGCAAATGGGATGGTGGATGCATTGGCTAAGCAAGGGGTGAATAAGGATAATTTATTTTGGACTCAGTTGTAAGTTTTCTTTTCTTTTTATAGAGAGGTAGCATCTCGTGCCTCTCTAAGGGATGCTTGTAAAGTCTTGTATAGATAGATATCTTAAAGATACACAGTGATACARAGATACCCGCATTTTGGTATTGGGCGTATCGATATTCTGGTCCTTGGATATTAAACCTAATCTAACTAAAAGTAATGAAAACAACAATTGATGATACATATGATTTAACCATACAAAAGTCCAGTGTTGAAGATTAATTAGTTTTATGATGTTTTTTTGAGTAGATGTTTTATGTTAGTTGTTAGATAGGAGGTGGGGACCACAGTGGTTATGTGAGTCCAAATTTTATTATGTTTTTTGAGTGTTATATATACTGTTTTATGGTTTGCCGCCTATAAGGGCATARTTGTCTTTGTATTGTTCTATTATTTTAGTATAAATGATAAGTGAAGGAGGCGGCCAGATTATTGCTCTCTTTTCTTTTCAACTTCTCTTCTTCTTCTCCTTCTCTCTTCCTTCTCTCTTCAAGAAACTACTTTCTTTCATATTTTTTTAATTCAGCAGATTTCTACTTGGTATCAGAGCATCGGCTAGGGTTTCTTGAAGCATTCTCATGCAACCCTAGATTAGCCGATTGCATGAAGTAGTAAATGGTTGATCGATCTGCTATAGATTGCCCAGTTCTTGGAGTTTTTGGTGGGATCTAGACATCAGGAAGGTGATCTACTGTTTGACATCAAAATCAGGAAGAATTGGAGTACGGGGAAGAGTCCCAGAAAAGTTGGACTTTTGTTTTTGATCTGATCTTGGGCGCCCAGGTATTGTTAGTTTTATTTTGATTTTCTGAAGAGGGCGGTTTGGTTTCTGAAATTTTCTAAGCCTCCCGGAGTACTGTGGGACTGAGTGTTGGAGGTAGTAGTGATATTTTTGGGT